TCAGGCTGGTGGAGCCCTGTGACCCATCCATAGTAGACTTCTGCTTTCTTTAGCAACTGAATACTTCTACTTCCCTTGGATCAAGTAGGTTTCCTTTCTTGGACTGTGAAGGCTACCCAAGGAATCTTGAATTAAAACATGAAACTGGAACTAATGGCTGTGCGAGATGAAATAAGCCAGTGGTGGTTTGAAAGAAAATGGTCCCCAAAATGAGTGGCACTATTAGGAAGTGTCTTTGTTGATATGGTATGTTTGTAGGCATATTCTTGTTGGAGAAAGTGTGTCACTGTGGAGGTGGGCTTTGAGGGTTCATGTATGCTCAAGCCACGCCCAGTGAGACAGTTCACATCCTGTTGCCTTCTTATCAAGATGTAGCCGGCACCATGTCTGCCTGCATGCCATATGATAATGGACTGAATCTATGAAACTGTAAGCTGCTACCTCGATTAAATGTTTTTCTTTGTAAGAGTTGCCGTGATCATAATGTCTCTTCACAGCAATAGAAACCCTAACATCCCTTTACTATAGCTTCCTTGGGTAAAGTAGGGGGGAGTCATGGCTCATTTTGTGGGAATGCTGTGAGGATAAAATGAGCTGGTGTGTAAAGACACCTTTGAGACAGAGGAACAGATAGATACACAAGGAGTATTGTGTCCTGCTGTGTGTTATGTCTCATCCATGTCCCCCTTTGCCAGTGTAGGAGTGGCTTCATGCTTTTTTTCTTCTTCTTTTTTTTTTAATTAGAACAGATAAACAACAAATTCTGGTTTTGCAACATACCTGCTGCATGGTTTTTGATAGGTAGAAACCTCTCTGTGAGACTTCCCGGTAAAATGATGTTGATGATGCTTGACTAGGAAGATTGTTACCACAATTAGAAGTTCCAGGGATAAAGTTCCTACCAAGTAAGTACCTGGCACGCAGTAGGTGCTCTATAAATAGAGCTATCATTACAGCTGTTATATGTCATAACCACGGCAACAACAATGCCACACACTTATTTTGAGCCATCTACCCACACTCCCCATCTCCCAGAGAGCTAGACTTCCCTGTTCCCGCCTGAGGGCCATGTACTCCTCGTTGGGTTTCTGGGAAAGGAAGGAATACTTTCCTAAGGAACTGACCAACTACCTTCTTTGCTCAAGACTGGCCTAATTTTAGTACTGGGCATGACACCAGCCAGGAATCCCCTTAGTCACTGACAAACTGCAATGGTTGACTTTTCTACTCACTAGGGTTAGCCCAACCTCTCTGGCATTGATATTAGGTTGCCTAGATTTGGAGAATTACAGTTCATTTTGGAGGCTACAGATGTAGTGTATGGCAGTCAACACGCCTTAGCATCCTCTTGAGCCCTGAGTTATAAACTTACTATCATGTCTTATGGGGGCCCTGAAAATGTTCTGAAATTAACTGTGGTAAATGTATTTTTAAAACATCCAGTTGTGTATGTTAAATGTATAATTGCACATTTAAGTTGTAAATTGGTGATGATTGCTATAATAAAATAAAGCTGCTACATTAAAAGATATTTATGGTTTTAAAGTGTATATTTATGGGGGCTGGAGAGGTGACTCAGTGGTTAAGAGCACTGGCTGCTCTTCCAGAGGACTCAGGTTCAATCCCCCATCTGCATGGCAGTTTACAACTGTCTATAACTCCAGTTCCAGGGAATCCAACACCCTCACATAGACATACATGCAGGCAAGAACACCAATGTGCATAAATAAATTAAAATCTATGTTTATATCTTTGCGCGCGTGTGTGTGTGTGTGTGTGTGTGTGTGTGTGTGTGTGTGTGTGTGTATCTCTACTGCCACACACAGGTGTAAATCAGAGGACAATTTGAGGAAGTCAGTTTCTTCCTTCCTCCAAATGTGTTCAGAAGACTAAACTCAGGTCGTCAGGCTTATACCTTTCCTTCCTGGATGATCTGTCTTGGCAGACCTAAAGCTTCAAAAGCAATTTTAAAATAAAATTGGCAGGATAGGATGCCATATGCCTGTGTTCCTGTCTCTCAGGAGGTAACTGAGAAGATCTTCAGTTCAAGACAAGCCTGGGCTTCATAGACTCTGCTTCAAACCAAACCAAACAATGAAAAACAATGTCAAGAGGCCAAGGTAAAATGCTTGCCTAGCATGCAAAAAGACCTGGGTTTGGAGTTGGCAGTAATTGTGTATGCCTTTGATCCCAGCTCTCAGGGGTGGAGAGGCAGAGGCAGGCAGACGTCTGTTTAAGGCCAGCCTGGTCTACAGAGTGAGTTCCAGGATTTCCAGGACTACAGAGAGAAACCTTGTTGTGGGGGGAGAAAGGACCCAGGTTTGATTCTGTAGCACCATAAAAAAATACAAAAAAAATCCTCCTTAAACCAATGTTCTTCTTATGCACCTGAGAATCTCATAAATCCAAATTATTCTTAGTTATTCTTTCACAATTTCACATGAATATATATATATGATATGTTTTGCTCATATTCCACAGGCCCATCCTCCTGTTGTTCCCAGCCACCAAACCCTTTCTTCTTACCAGCAAGTCACTTCTCCTCTACTTTGATGACTTTGTGTGTGTGTGGGCTCTACTTCATTTAATTAGGGTTGCTTGTGCGAGCATGGATGGAAGCACAAAGCACTCTTAATCTCCATCTTAGGATATCATTGGCCACCCTCCCCCCTCACAAAAAAATGAAACCAAACCAAAGCACACCAAAAACTTATCTAAGCCAGGGAGTACCGTCCTCATTCTGCAGGACAGTAGAGCAAGGCTTGTTATAAGCAGGCTGTAAGAGGATTTTTGACCCAGATCTATAAGGAGCATCAGCACGTAAGCTATGAGGGGTAGGAAGGAGGGGAGAGGTTGGTGGGGCAGTATTGACACCAGAGAAAGGGGGTTTACCCTGGTCCTGATGCTGGCAATACAAGGTAAAAGGAGATAAATGTGTAAGTAAAGCTAAACCAAAGCACCACAGAGGGGCAGGAGGAGAAGAGCTGCGCAGTAAGGAAGGGTGAATGGGAAAGGACACTCCAGGTAGGGGAGCCATTGGTGAGGGCTCAGAGGTGTGACAGATGGTGGCTTGTTAGAGCTCTGCTAGCCAGGTGGGGGGCCCTGAGTGTCAGTCGTTCAGAGGGGTGATGTGGTTAGATTTCTGCCAGACTGTGGAGAGCCCTGGGCACAATGCGTGCTTTGGCCTTTGTTCTCAGTCGGTGGACTTTGGTAGGTAGGCAGTGAGTGATGATACCATTTTACACTGTGCGACGTGGCACATCCTTCATGAGGTCCCCCATTAATGGCCAAACTGTCACACATGGCTGGAGACTCAGCTGCCCCCTTGGAAGATACATGACCTGCGCCTTTAGACTCACTCTCCTCCCTTGCCTCCTCCTCATCCGTCCATTTGTTTTCTCCAGTCTCTACTCTTTCCTGTGCTTTATTTCTCCTTGGGTGTTCCTGCTAGGACCACAGGTTTCAGCAAGCTTGCTACAGTCCTACAGCGCTTCTCATCTTTTCGTGATACAGGCTCTTGCTTTGTAGCTGAGGCTGGCCTTGTGCTTGGAATCCTCCTGCCTCAGCCTCCTTCCTAAGTGCTGAAATTATAGGCTGATGTATTTCAACCCCTTAATGGTCTGGGCAGTGCAGTTCCATTAGTGTGGGTAAAGGAGCAGGACTCCAGGTGTCTATTTTCCCCCAGGGGACCCGGGTGGGGGTAGAAACACATCAAGGGTTTCTGAGGCCCAAGGGGAAGAGCTCTCTAGAGGGTGGGTGTGTTGTGGTAGTGGTAGTTCTCAGCACTTTTATGGAGAGCTTTCTAGGTGAAAGGCCCTGAGGTGTAGCTTTGTTCAAAAGGCATCTGGCAAAAGGAAAAAACACCTCCCTCCCAGTAGAGCTAGGTAGGGCACCTGCCTAGAAAAAAAGAAAAGGGCAACTGGGCTAAAATGCCTGCTTTTCAGGAAGGAGTGTCCTAACACTTACCGAGCACCTCTGAGACAGGTCAAGTACAGGGACGTGGGCACAAAGAGCCACCGTTCCCACCATCATGTGGCCACCCCTCTGCAGTGAGAGGTCACTGTTGGATGGATGTAGCAGGCCAATATAGTTTGCTCACTTCAGATGTGCTCGATAGCAGAGCAAAGCTAGGGGCCATGCCTACAGCTCCGGGTTCCCCAGCCAGGTGCTTTTGAGTGTGCAGAAACAGCACTCTGGGACACCCATGAAAAAGATTCCCGCTGGGGCGGGGGTGGCGCACGCCTTTAATCCCAGCACTGGGGAGGCAGAGGCAGGCGGATCTCTGTGAGTTCGAGGCCAGCCTGGTCTACAGAGCGAGTTCCAGGACAGCCTCCAAAACAATACAGAAAAACCCTGTCTCGAAAACCAAAAAAAAAAAAGAATCCCATAATCCACCTCAGCTTTATAGACTTAAAATGGTTGGATCTACATTTCAACACACCTACCCCTACCTAATCCCTCGGGGCACTTTTGAGGTAGTTAAGTTACACACCATAACCTAGAGTACTGCTTAATAGGGAGATAATAACCTGCTTCAGAGATAGGTCAGGCAACGTGTGCGACAGAGCCTCTTAAACAGCAATATACGTCTTTGGAAATGACAGTAATTAAAACATCCAAATAATAACCAAACAATACAGTAAAAGAACTGGAGAGCGCCCTGGAAAGGTGGCGAACTAGCGTTTACATTACAGCCAGTGCGACTGTCTCTTTAAGGTTTCCCCCCATCCCCTAGGGGCGTGTCAGACAAGGTCGGCGGCGCGTGCGCGCGACTCCGCGGGGCGGTCGCAGCGACGCGACGCCGGCGCTTGTTGCGTGCGCGTCTGGCTCCGCCCAGGCCCCGTCCCTTCCCTTCCCTTCCCCCCGCCCTCCGCGGGGCCTCCCCCGCCCGCGCTGTACAGCTGGGCCAGTGACGCTGGCGCAGCGGCCGCCGCGTTCCGTCCTCCGAAGCCGGCCTCCGCTCGCGTCCTGCTCCTCCCGCAGCGCCCGACAGCACGAGCCAGTCCAGGGCACGCGGGGCGTCGCGGGGACCCGACAGGGAGTGCAGGAGGGCGCGCGCAGCGGCGGAGCGGGTTCTGCGGCGCGGGAGCTGCGAGCGCCCCCTTCCCGGAGGTCTCGGCGCGACTCCCGGGTGAGTTGTCACTGCCGCCCGGGCGGGAGGGCCGGCTTTGTGCTGCGGCGCGCGGGGCTGGTTGTCAGGGCACGGGCGGGCACGCACCTCCGCAGGGACGCGGGCCTCAGCGCGGCCGCCTGCTCTCGCTCTGGCCGGTGTCAGCGGCGCGGGGCGCGCGGAGGTAGCCGGGCCCGGCCGCTCCGAGGGCGGCGGCGTGGTCGTGCGGTGCGGGGGACCCGAGGATCCGTGGCGGGCGGAGGCCCTCGGTGTGGCCGCGCTGGCCCTCCCGCCCAGCGAAGCCACGGCCCGGCGCGGCGGGACGGGCTTGACCGAGGTGGGTTTCCCGAGGAAATCTTGCAGCCGCTCGCGTGTGCGCGTGAGCCCTCTGGAGCCCCAGCGCCTGGTCGCCTCTTCAGTCGCAGAAACTTTCTTATTATGTGGGCTGAAACTCGCCTAAGCCACTTCCTGTTTTGTTTTGTTTAAACGTGACTACATATAGACTTTCTTTTTGAGTCCTTACTAAAATCGCAAATATTTGTGAGTCTGACGGTCCCTCACGGTAGTGGTTGTGCATCCACCGTGGTGGAAAAACTTAACCTGTAACGGAATTGGGGGGACAGCAAGACCTAGGAAAAGAGGCGTCAAGCTCATTGGGAACTTCACGGCTCTGCAGAGGCCTAAAGTTGTCACACAGTTCTATGGTGACAAGGCAGTATGCTACCCCTTGTTGCTTTTGGGGACAGGGATTTGAAGTGCTCTGTATAGAGAGGTGCGGGTACGTTGTCCAGTTCAGTTAAGCGATGGGTATTTATTTACTCCTTTCTCGATGTGCAGTGTCTTTGCACTCTTCGCAGTGATCAGTTCTCTTTTTGCTGTTAGAATCCATGAGTTAAACACACACACACACACATACACACACTTTTGTGTTCTGGGAATTCTACACCGGGATTGTCACCATCTAGCGGAGACTAGTAGAGACATGTCCTTGGCATTGACTTCTTAGTTTTCTGAGCTTTGTACTTTTCATTAGCTGCATATGCAAACAGAAATGAGAATTGCCTGAGTTAGAGGGTGTTCCTACATCAGTAAAGGAATAGTTTCATAAAGTGGTGATAACATGGAACACTTCTTGAGGGTTTATTGTGTACCAACCTTGTGCTAAAAGTTTCACTGGTGTGCGTGAGGTTGCTGGAGTGTGTGGTGTGAGCACACCGTGGTGCTGGGAGGGAGGTAAAGACCAGCTTGTGTGCTTACACACCGTAGTGCTGGGAGGGAGGTCAAAGGTCTGCCTCCCAGCGACTGAACTTTGGCGATCAGGGCTGTGCTTTTAAACCACTGAGCTAGTCACTGGCCCAAGTTTCACTTTTGATCTCATTTAGTAACGTTTGAGGTAGGATGGATGTGATCCTTATTTTTCCAGTTGAGACAAAAGCCACACAGGTTAACTAATTTAAGGCCACAAATGGGAGTTCTGGAGTCTCTAGATCCTTCTCAAAGCACCACTACTTGAGGCTGTTTCTCTAATTATAAGCATCCCTAATTTTCTCCTGGATGCACGTTTATGGTTGGTTTGTTCATCTTCTCACACACACACACACACACACACACACACACACACACACACACACACACACACACCCATAACGGGTGAGTAAAACTGAAACCAGACAGGTCTTCATGGTGCTTAGTTTTTTTGCTCCTCCCTCCTTTTTTTTTTTTTTTTTTAACGAGACAGGGTTTCTCTGTATTGTTTTGGAGGCTGTTGGTCCAGCCCGGCCTCGAACTCACAGAGATCTGCCTGCCTCTGCCTCCCGAGTGCTGGGATTAAAGGCGTGTGCCACCACTGCCCGGCCCTCCTTTTTGTTTTTTTTTTTTTTGAGACACAGTTTATCTGTGTAACAGTCCTTGAATTCACAGAGATCCACCTGCCTCTGCCTCCCAAGGACTGGGATTGTAAGTTGTACCCACTAAGAGAGGACAGTTACCAGTTTGAAACTTGCGGATGGATTTCCAACTTTGGCTATTGTAGGAATGGTATTTGAGTCAAATCCTCCCCTACTGCTATAGAAAAGTCTCAGGGTATGCAGTCCTGAGATCAAACCCACCAGATGGCAGTTTGACTTGCTCTGCCCAGCTTCTCCAAAGCTAGCATTCAGGCTCATTGAAAGAAGAGGAAGACAGGTTAAGAGGAGGTGCTGCAGCCTGGCAGGTGGCAAGACCTCAGCACTCTGTGGTTTTCTGGCTGGTCTCCATGGTGTGGTGATTGATCTGGGGCTCTTATGTAATGATGCCTCTTCCTGACAGTATTTCCTTCTCTGCTGTTGCTGGGGCAGCAGTCCCTGCCTCGCTGCTTCCTCCACACACAGGCATGCATGTACCCGCCAAAGGCAGTAATTCACTTGGCTTCTAAAAGTAAGACTTTTTTTCTCTTACTATTACTTATTACTATTTTGCTCACGTTATGCTAGTCCATTTCTCATTAAAACTTGCCTTTGGTTGTGCATGTCTGTAATTTCAGTACTAGGGAGGCCTGAGGTGGGAGGGTCATGAGTTCCAGCTAGCCTGGGTATACACACAGTGAAATCCTGTGTCAAAATCAGATGACAACAATAACAATCAAAAGCTTCCCCTCCCCCCATATCCCTTGCTCTCATCTCATATTTTTCCTGGTGCTTTTTCTGTACCTTTGGCTCCCTTGACAGCTGTTCACTGCTGGTATCCTCTGTAGACTTAGAGAAACAATAAAAGGTCTTAAAAACTCAATTGGGGCCGGGCAGTGGTGGCGCACGCCCTTAATCCCAGCACTCGGGAGGCAGAGGCAGGCGGATCTCTGTGAGTTCGAGGCCGGGCTGGACCGACAGCCTTCAAAACAATACAGAGAAACCCTGTCTTGTAAAAACAAAACAAAACAAAAACCCAAAAAACCTCCGTTGGGGGCTGTAGAGAGGGCTTCCTGATTAGGAGTGCATATTGCTCTTGCAGAGGACTGGAGATGCATTCCTAGCACCCAACCAGCTCAGTCATTCATAACTCCAGCTTCAGGCCCCCAAATACACAGACACCTACACACAAACAATGAAACCTTAAAAATTTTGTTGAGACCAGGCATGGTGGCCAATGCCTTTAAACCCAGCACTGGAGAGGCGGAGGCAGAGGCAGAGTTTGAGACCAAGTCAGATCTACATAGTGAATTCTAGAACTGCCAGTCCTACATAGTGACACCTGTATAAAAAAAAGAAAAAAAAAGAAGGAAGTTAACCCAATGAGGAACATCATTCCTCATTTTCAGTACCAAACAGGTGATCTGAGAGAATGAAGCAGAACCATTTGCTGGCAATGAAGGAAAGCCAAAGAACATGTGGTGCTTGTTGTTTTCCCTGTTTCCCAAGTGACAATTCATGAGAAGTAGGGGCAGGTCCTTATAGCCCACTTGGCTTGGTCACCTGTCTGCTATGTCTTAAACATTTTACTGAGTTCTTGCATTGGCAAGTGGTCTAGTTGAAGCTGATGAACAAAATTCATTTATCTGCCTCTATCTGCCTGACATGGGTTCCTGTTGAGAGCATTCTCTCAAGCAATAGAGAATGGAGAAAAAGAGTAGATAAAGGAATCATGTGTTAAGATCGGGGCCAGCCTGGTCTACAAAGCAAGCTCTAGGATAGCCAGAGCTGTTGCATACATAATTTTGGGGGAAAACGTTATTTCTTGCCAGGCAGTGGTGGCACATGCCTTTAATCCCAGCACTTGGGAGGCAGAGGAGGCCAGCCTGGTCTACAGAGCTAATTCCAGAACAGTCAGGACTACACAGAGAAATCCTATCTTGAAAAACAAAACCAAAGGGGCTGGAAAGATAGCTCAGTGGTTAAAAGCACTGACTGTTCTTCCAGAGGACCTGAGTTCAATTCCCAGCATCCACCTGTCTGTGACTCTTGGGGACCTGACACCTTCACAGACATACATGCAGGCAAAACACCAATGCACATGAAATAAATAAATAATTAAAACAGTAACAAAGAATTGCTGTGTTGCAGATTTGAATGTGAAGATTATGACATTTGGGTTAAGGGCAAATATTGAAGCAGATAATATGTGATGAGATTCTATTGGCTTCTCTGAAAATTGCTTCTATGCAGGCAGGGATCACTGTCTCTGTTATTGTAACAAAGTACCTGAGATGTGGTAATTCATAAAGAAGACAAGCCTATTTGGCTCACAGTTCTGGAAACCAGGAAGTTGGAGAGCTTAGCACCTGCATCATAACACAGCACATGGTATCACATGGTAAAATGAGCAAACTCGGGAACTCGAGTCTCTTCCTCTTGTACAGTCAGCTTGAGACCTCACTAGTCCTAGTTATCTGCTAATATATCCATTCACCTTCTAGTCCCAATAGAATTAATATATAACTTTGAGGATTTTCTAGTACCTGAACTTTTAGGAGACACATTCAAACCATGGAATGAAGAGGAAGGAGGATCTTGAATTCAAGGTTGCATAATGAGACCCTGTTTCCAAACAAAGGCACAAAACAAAACCCACAGCATCCACATATGTAATAATAGTAAATAGTCGATTGGTTTTTAGAAAATTCACCTACTAAATGGTTTTTTAGAAAATTCATGCTCATAAGGTATATGACCACATTGTAGGATACTTAAAAACTTAAAGCAGTAAAAAATCCTGTAATGTGGGAGGGCTGTTTGCTTGCTGATGGGAAGGAAGAATGCAGCTTATTGTTAGTTGAGGCTAGAAGCTTTGTGATGAGTATTTGAAGCTGTTGATCTTGAGACCCAGGAAGCAGTCAGTCAGGCAGACTTTGGGGTGACTGACCTTGGGCATGAAGATCTATTCACTCTATCATGGCTGAGATTCAAATAGACATTTTTTGGTTGATGTATGATCATGAGTGTTGCCCTGTAAAAATCTTTATGTAGATCTGGTAGGCACCTGTAGTTTTCTGTCTTTATCCTTGTATCTGTGTCTGTCTGTCATACCCTACCCCCTTAGCTTTTTGGGGC